ATTCTATTGGCAAAGGAAATCTCGAAATAGTCTAGTATAGACTCTGTGGTGTGGTAATTAATGTTCACCCTTATGAAGAGTGTTTTGATGAAATGAAGCAAGCCTAGCAAGGAAAATATGAAATGTGCAGTTCAAAGAGAAAAGGGGTACCAGGAAGTGGAATGGAGCTAAATTCTCTGTTCAAGGAGATAAAAAAGATTAAAGGACAGCCCAATGTTAAATGGAATAAACACAGTAGTGATCTCAGGACAAAACCACACTCAGCTAAGCTTCAATCTTGGGAAAGGGGATTAAAGAAAAGCTTAGGTCTTGGCACGGTGGTACACACCTTTAATTCTAGTACTCAGTAGACAGAGGTAAGTAGATCTCTTGAGTTCATGGCCAGCCTGGTCTACAGAGCAAGTTCCGGGATACCTAAGTTTAGGCAGTGAAGGAAACCATTGAGAATAGATCGGGTGAAGATGGAACTCAACAAGAAGGACCACTTTCTAGCCTCGGCAAGCTGCAGAAATTGGCAGCTTTGGCTAAGTGGCTTTAGTTTTAGAGTCAAAGATAGAATAAAGGGGTTATGGAACCCCCTTCCATAACTAAGGAAAGCTTCTGAGGCCAGGTATTTGTCAGGGGTGTCCCTGCATGGAGGCCTAGAGAGGCCTTTATGTGAAGCTGTGACTGGAAAGCCTGGGCTGCCTTGGAGATCCTAAGATGTTGGAGATGCCAGATCTGTGGGCTACCTGCCAGAGAGCTGCTAACAGAAAGTGGAACCAGCCCAAGAGAAAGAAGTGTGTTGTAGTCAACAAAGCTGAAAAGCATTGGAGCTCTGAAGAGTGCTTTGACATTAGAGTTGGAGATGCAGAGTTTGGAGTTTGCCTAGCTATTTTTTTTTTTTAGGGACCATGATTTGCTAAAGAATAATACCCTAGACTCAAATAGTACAAAACAGCAGAGTATTTATTCTGCAGAATGGAAGACCGAGGTGTGAGCTTTGCAGGGTGTCTTAGTTAGGATTTTACTGCCGTGAACAGACCAAGGCAACTCTTATAATAAGATCAAGGCAAGAAGAATGGCATCCAGGCAGACATGAAGTTGGAGAAGGAGCCAAGAATTCTACCTCTTGTTCCAAAGTCAAACAGGAGAAGACTGACTTCCAGGTAGCTAGGACAAAGGTCTTAAAGCCCACATCCACAGTGACACACTTCCTCCAATAGAGCCACACCTCCAGATAGTACCACGCCCTAGGCCAAGCATATTCAAAGCACCACACAGGGTCAATTTAAAGCCTTTAAAGTAGGAGTAGGTGACTTCTACTTTTCTTTCCTTTGATTTGTTGGGTCTATCTCCAAGAGTATGGGTGCTTTTGTGATTGGTTAAGGCTCTAGGGGATTTGGGAAACTTTTGCTGAGTAACTATACTTGGCTCAGGCTAACTGATGGTTTTTTTTTTTCCTAGAATGTACTTGTTTTGGACTTTTTCAGTTCTGGGCATCAGAAACGTAGGCCCAGTCTCCCACACTGCCAGTTTGCATCCTGTCATGGAGTCAATGTGGCTTTGGCTAACACAGTCCTCTCAGTTTTTGGTCTTGCTTTGGTCCAGTATTTCCTCACTGTTCTCCCTTCCCTGCGTTTGGAATGGTAATACATATCCTGTGCCATGATACATTGGAAGTATGTGATCTGCTTTTTTATTTTGATTTTATAGGGGGTTATGGTTAAGAGATTGAATGGACCTTAGACGAGACTTTGAACTCTGGACTTTTAAATAAGTTTAAGACTGTTGTAGACTATGGAGACTTTTGAAATGTAGACTATGGAGACTTTTGGACTGAATGTATTTTACATTATGATACAACTACAAGCCTATGGGGGCCAGGGAGTGGCATGTGGTGGTTTGAGTAAAATATCCCCCATAGGCCTAATGGTACTATTAGTAGGTGTGGCCTTGCTGGAGGAAGTGTGTCATTGTGGGGTCGGGCTTTGAGGTCTCAGAAGTTCAAGCCAGTTCTCTCCTGCTGCATTCAGATCACGATGTAGAACTCTCAGCTCCTTCTCAGAACTACTTCTGCCTGCACACTGCCGTTTCTTGTCATGATACTAATGGACTGAACCTCTGAACTGTAAGCCAGCCCCAGTTAAACATTTTCCTTTATAAGAGTTGCCATGGTCATGGTGTCTTTACATAGCAACAGAAGCCCTAAGACACTCTCCAACCTGATGCTTGCCCGTGGTGTTTTGTCACAGCAATAGAACCCCTAAGATACTGGACAAAGGTTGCTTTTTTGTTTTTGTTAGTTTCTTTTCTTTTTTTTCCCCCCTTATGTTGTAGGCTGTTTCTTCACTCTGGTAATGGTTTCCTTTGCTGTACAGATGTTTTTTTTTTTTTTGACATGGTTATTTACAATATATATATATATATTCAGATGGAGTATCTTTCATCATTCCCTGTCTCAGGATATTTGATCCCATTGTGAACAGGGAGATTGGGAACTGTTTCTAATTGTGGCATGGCTCTGCCTTTGATCCTAGAGCTTTCTGTTTACTGTAAACAAGAACTTGTGTTATGGCCCAGAGCTAGCACACACCTTTAATTCGCGGACAATATAAAGTCAACCCTAGGTCAAGAGAAGGAGCAAGCAACCAGCCAGACTGTAAGTAAACAGAAAGGAAGGTCTTTAAGTTGAAGGAGAGTAGACAAGAGAGATCTTTTCCTTAGGAAGGTCACCTGGGTGTCTTCTGTGCCTTGCTGGGCTTGCAGGTTTTTCCCCCCATCTGGCTCTTAGTCTTCATTGGTAAAATCAAATGGCTGAGATTTTTGTTTTTAAAACAATTTCCTTCCACAGGCTTTCCACCATTGATAGCCAAGGCCCTCCCCAAATGCTCTTTTGAACACACATACACTCACTCACACGGAAATCTGTCTGTGAACTGTGAACAAGAAACCCTATGCAGACACATGAGAAATGGTGTCCAGTTAGGTCTAGTTTATTGGAAACCCATGCTAAAACAGGAACTTGGCATTATTCTCCCTAGCACTTGATGTTTCTGAGAAAAGGCCAATTGCTCATCCCAGCCTGACTTCTGCATCATAGTATGTAGCAGGATACTTATTCTGCTACATTGTATTCGCAGTGGAGCTCGGTGACTAGGCAGTAGAAGAGGAGGTGGAGCTGGGGGAAGAAGAGCTGAAGGGGAGGAGAGAAAAAGAGGAAGGCGAGACAACTAGAGAGGTAGAGAGACACCAGAGGAGAGAAGAGAGGTGAAAGGACAATGGAGGACATGGCCTGGAAAAACCACAAGTTATAAGGTATCTCATAGATGGGGAATAAACTGGGGTAGTGGTAAATTTGCCCAATCTAGGTGTACAGTTTGTATTCATAATTTTTGAGTTGTGTCTTCTTTGATCGGTCCTATTTGGGTTGGAGATTTACCCCAACAATAGTAGCCATGCAGGTAAACTTGTGACTGGTGGCTGTGGCCTCCGTGCAGAAGTGCCCAGAGGCAGTGTGCCCAGCTTCTTTCTGCTGTGAAACACAGGATGGCCACACCCTACTTTGATTTTCTTCCCCCGTAAGAGCTCCAGATCTCCTCAAGGGGCCATCTATAATCTTCCAAACCCAGAGGCGTCTCCCAATCTTCCTGATTTGAACCCCATAGGCCATTTTAACTCATTCTAGTCAATGAAGGAATGATTTATTTATTTATTTGAGACAGGGTTTCTCTGTGTAGCCCTGGCTGTCCTGGAACTCACTCTGTAGACCAGGCTGACCTCGAACTCAGAAATCCGACTGTCTCTGCCTTTCAAGTGCTGGGATTAAAGGCGTGCACCACCACCGCCCGGTGAAATGATATTTTTAAAGACACTCAGGTTAGGGTGACGGCTCAGTGGATAAGGTGCCTATGACAGCATGATGAGCCGAGTTTAGATTTCCAGCATCCATGTACAAATCCAGGCATGGAGGTGTGTGATGGTTGGTATACGCTTGACCCAGGGAGTGGCAGTATTAGAAGGTGTGGCCTTGTTGGAGTAGGTGTGTCACTGTGGGTGTGGACTTTTAATACCCCTAGTCCTAGCTGCCTGGAAGCTAGTCTCCTCCTAGCAGCCTCCAGATGGAGATTGTAGATCTCTCAGCTCCTCCAGAACCATGCCTGCCTGGAGGCTGCCAAGTTCCTGCCTTGATAATGGACTGAACCTCTGAACCTATAAGCCAGCCCCAATTAAATGTTGTCCTTATAAGAGTTGCCTCGGTCATGGTGTCTGTCTGCTGCAATAAAGTCCTAAGATAGCCAGCTCTCAACTTGGCCAGATGGGAGTAGGGCCAGCTCTCCTGCCTAAGGCAAAGGAGAGTACTTACTCTCCCACACTCAGGGAGGGCTCACCAGCAACCACACCACCAGCCTGTCTGGCTTCTCAGCAAACCCCAGGGATTGTTCTATCTTCACATCCTTGTTACTGAGAGTAGATCTGGGCTCCACAATGCCTTTTGTATGTAGTTTCTAGAGCTCTAGAACTGAAATGAGACCTTCAGACTTAGCCCCAGACTGTGGATTTTGGGTCTGCTCAAAATATTAGAAGTGTATCTTCACTGTTTAGGTCTAGCATATGGAAAATGAGGGCTGTGGCGGTGATAGCAGGCTAACTCTACCCAGGGGATTACTTATTCTCATGTCCATTTCGAAGGAGAATTAAGAGAACACAAAGTAGAGTGGTCTGACCCCTGACAGCACATTTACGTCGAAAAGTCACGTCGACATTGTGAATGAGTTTCCAGGCACAGGGCATGCAGATTCCTCAGCTGTCATCCACGCTGGGTGTGGGGGTGCACGCCAGCCAAGGCAGGAAGAGCTTGAGTTGGAGGGTAGCTTGGGCTATATAGCCAGACCAGGTCTCAAAAAACAACAAAAAAGCCAAAACAAAACAAAAAAACCAACAAAAAAACCAATGCCCCTCCCTCGCCAAATGAACCCACAAAAACCCAAAACACATGAAGACACCAAAAGTCAGGCCACTTTTTAGTATTTTTATAAATTTATTAAAAAAGAAAAGCAATTGCAATGACATCAGTGATCACCTGTACTCCCCTACGGGGAAGAGGGGGAGGGGGAAGGGGGGGGGGAGACTGACATAGTTGAGTCCCAAAGAAAAATCAAGACATTATTATCAGGCACCCTGTAGCCAGGAGAGGCTGTGGGTGCAGTGGTCTAGACACTGGCGTGTCCCATTACCAGTGCAATTAAAATATATACATTTACAGTTATCCTGCAGCAGGAAGCAGAGTGCCCAGAGACCAGCAGCCCACTCCTCCACTTACTCTGTATCTTTGAAGCCATCACTACAATCACAAAAACAAACAAGTAAAAAGAACTAATTTAAACAAATAAACAAACAAACAAAAAGAAATCCAAGTCAGCCCCTCAGGCCTCTGTTAGTCCTATGCTGTGCCAGAATTAGAATGACCACAGGGACAGGAGCCAACTGCAACGCAGCCACAAAATGGAAACCCAAGCATCTGCATCAAAGGAAAGAAAACTCAAACCTGCCTTCCTCAAAATGAAACTCAGCAACAATATGAGGTTAGGGTTATGTACAAACTTACAGACACAAATAAATAGCACTCTACAGTTGCTGGCTGAAGCACTACTGTTAAGTCTGAGGAATCCTTGAAGCCCTCTTAGAATCCTCTCTATCTCAAAGGTAGAAATTCCTCATGGTTTTCAGTAACATCTGGAAGCTCATGTGAAGAGCCCAAAGTTTGTAGTGAGTTTACTAAAAAAAGATCAGCCCCCTCTGACCTCTGGAAGCCAGGAGACATGGCAAGATTCCTGGAGTGGAAGGGATGGCTTACTCCATGCTTCTCCAATTAAACTAGTTCCCCATGGTACTTCTTCATAAGGTCTTTCCTGTCTCTAACACAGAGCCAGTCTTTAGACTTGACTAGTCTGTGGAATGACTGCGTTTGACTTTGATTGCAGAGAAGGCAGCCAGTTCTTCTGATGTCTCATCATTGGTCTTTTCTTCAGGCCTCAGCATCTATGGGGCTGGGGCTGGGGCTGGGGCTGGGGCATGTGTGTGTGTGTGTGTGTGTGTGTGTGTGTGTGTGTGTGTGTGTGTGGCTCAGTGGTAGAGTGCTTGTCCAGAAAACATTTCTGAGGCCCAGTTCCTGACCCTGCAGGAATCCTCACAGGCTGTAGCTGGTCCCTACAGCATTGATGCAGTGGGCAAACCTTGCTGCAAGGTCTACAGAGGAAGGAGAAAACAAGTGGAAACTGGCACCAAGGAATCAGCTGCCATGGGAAGAACACTCACCCCCTGGGTCATCACCCAGGCAGGGGTGAAGAACGCGACTCTCCTGCACTCTGCACCCTGGCAGTGCTCCAGTCTGCATCCAGGACAGCTGGCTCAACAGTGCTACTCCAGGCAATAAGGATTCTCTTTTAGTGCACATCAGAAGGTGACAGCGTGACTGTGACTTGGTTTCTTCAGTCTAAGAGCCACGCCTGGTATCCATCCGCTGGAGAAGCATGCTCTACAGCAGCACTCGGGCTGGCAGGGCACTTGCTCTCTAGATTGAAATGCACAGGTCCTTCCATGTGCTACTGGCTGTCATCAGGCCCATGATTAAATAGCCTAGGTCTGCCTCTGTTGAAGGACAACTGGGAGAGTTCTCAACACTTCAGCATACATGTTGTCAAGTTTTGTTCTCTGAACTGTCTCTAAAGTGGCCACAGTATGAACTATGACCTCGATGGCCGTTAACAGAAATGAGCAGACCACAGTCGAAGCTAAAAATGTACCTTTTAGGTCCATCTATCCTTTTATCCTGAGTCCAAAATATCCTTTTTGTACTTTCTTGGCTGAAGTAAAAAAAAAAAAAAATACCAACCTAGCATGTGGGCAGATTCCTGTCAGTACAGGTCAGAAGACTTTAGCTCAGTTTGTTGCTCCAAGTCCTAACAGGAAGCTTCTTTGCTTGGGAACCACCAGAGTGCAAAGTGTCTATGCATCAGGCAGCCCAACATCCCACCAGGGGATGGATGCTGTTGAGACTCCACAGGGAGGCAGGGCCTGTGGCGCCTTGACTGAGGACCAGGTTGAGAAGGCTGCTCTCCCCTATGACAATGGCTGACTGGCTGGCTTTACCACTCAATGTAAGTGCTGTGTTTGTAATGCTGGGCTGGCAAATACCTCTTTTTATCATTCAAATTTGCAAAAAGTCAGTGTCCAACAGTCTGAAACAGGTCCTCAATGAGAGGGTGAGACAAGAGCTGGCCACTTCAGTTCATCAGCTGTCACTGCAGCTGTAATACTGAGCTAAGTAGTTTCTGTCCTGAGAGAGGGCAGAGTGAGACTGTCCAGTGCCCCACTGGAAGTCGGTCCATTTCCAGGAACAGTGGAGAGGACTGTGAGTGATCAGCTCTGCCACCCTCCTGGGGTTAGGAAACTCGGATGATCTGTGTCATGGCTTCTTCTTCAGCTTGGTTTGGATCCTACAGAGAAAGACAGCACAACAGTCCTTTACAGCAGCAACAGGAGTCCCTGGCTCTCACAACTTAAGGGTTTACAATGACATGCTGTCGTTTTGTGCCATTATTTATCATCTTAAAAAATGGAAACCCAATAGCATTCCATTCGACAGATGAGGATGCAGACAAAAAGAGGCCAGCATGGAGACTAAGGAGAGCTTTTAACACCACAGCCTACGGTTGGCAGTTCCTAATCACAGACATGCACAGACGCTAAGAACATAGGGTTGTCAGGATGCTTGCAGTATGGTTCACTAAGAAAGAGGAACCTGCAGACTGCTGTGGTAGATTATAAACACCCTTCACGATCTGATACAGAACTGCCCCTGGCGAGCTGAAGGAGCCCTAAGTATGAAGGAATTCCATGTTGCTGATAGTAAAGTGAGCCAGCAAAAAGAATTCATGAATTCAACCGGCATTGATCATCTGTTCAGAACTGGATTCTACGCTAACCCCCGAAACTACCACAGAACAAAACCTTCTATTTTAATGTAACGTACTCTCCAGTAAAAGAAGCAATGTGGACCAAATAGAGAAAATCTCTTGATGGTTTTTATAAATTACAGGAAAACTCAAGAGTAAAAGAGCTCTATGAGAGATGAGTGCAGGCTAAAGAGCCTCTCGGACCTAAGCCAGGCCTAAGGAAGGAAGGTAAAAGCTGTCTGTGGTGGCTGGCACGCTCCTAGAAACCCAGTACTTGGGAAACTGGGGCAGGAGTACTGCAAAACTGAGGCTAGCCTATGCAGGGAGAAGGGATAGTCACAGAAATGATGGAGAAAGAACATTACAGACTAGACACTGAAAAGACCAGGACCAGGCCGGAAGAACAGACAAATGGGTAAATGGTGAGCAAATAAGAGCAGGTGAATCTCGGTGAAGACACCACACTTACAGGCCACGGTAGTGAATCTAGGTGAAGACACACCACACTTACAGGCCACGGTAGTGAATCTAGGTGAAGACACACACACACTTACAGGCCACGGTCAAGACTTACAGAGGGCGAGAAAGCAAAGGAGGATAAAGTGAGATGTGATGTCTGACAAACACCACCCTGAGATGTGGAAAATGTGACAGCTGGATATATTAATCTAAACCAAGAAAGAGGACTAGGCCAGGCTGGTATCAGTTAGGAGGGTAAATAAACACATTCAAATTATGTTTCAGAGACAGAACCAAAAGAACTTCCGAATCTGAAGCATCTAAACTGTAAGAACTAGATGGTGACAAGCCGCTTGTGTAGGTGACAGAATAGCATCAAGCACTCCATTGTGAACATACAGATTCAGAAACATGTCAGAGATGATTCGTCAAGACTCTACTACCTGGGTCTGAAGTCAGTTGATGGGTCTGTTTGTGCATGAAGCAGGATTTGACCCAAGGCCTCAAATGCCAGTCAAATACTCCACACTACTGAGCTAGCTACACCACTAGCCCTTTATGAGAATGAGTCTCACTAATCAGCTGGTCTTGATTCACCTGTAGCCCAGGCAAGGGCCTCACCTTGTTAGCTTCTTGCCTCAGCTTCTAGAATAAGTGGGACGACTGGACTGCACTTCCAGGGCTGATTGAGCAGTGCAAGTATCGGCCTTAGGCAAGTCACCTAAGGTCTCAAGAACTCATACTCAACTGTAAAAATGGCGATGTACTCCTGCTCTATGGACCCGAGGTCCCAGTCAGTTGAACAACAACAAATAAAGGCTTACTAGAATGCGCGACATAAGAACTGCCACACGATATTAAATGTCACCGACTCCAACAGCACACTAAAAGTAAGCAAAACCTTTCCTTAAAAAAGAAAAAAACGGAGAAAAAGCCCATGGGGTTGAAACTTTCAGTGCTTCTGAAAAGAAAGGAAGTTAAACAACAGACAGCACATGTGGTCCAGAGTATGTTCTCTAAATGAAGGACAGCTGCTGCTGATAGAGAGAAGGCTGCAACACAGAAAGGAAGTAGACAATGTCCTTACCTGCATGTGAGGACTGTCCTTTTCTTTTGGAGAGAAGAAGCGGCCCCCTTCCCCACGCTTCCGTGCCATGGCGTGCCGATGCCGAGACTCATGAAGGTATTTCTAGAGAAGAGAAAGAAGATCCTAACTGTTAGTGAGATCTAGCACTAACCTACTGCAGAGTTTATCGTTAAAAGTTCCAGGCAATGCAATCAGAGTCAAGGGAACAAAGAAAACTGAATGATGGAGAATCAGCATAGTGGCCCTGGCATCTAACCTCTGTTAGAATGTGATGCTGACTGAACTGGAGGGAAAAGCAGTGATCACTATCGCCCTCCTATCACTGATCCTTCCTCTGCTTCAGGAACTGAAAGAGGTTTGGTTGAGCAAATGGCAGCTCAGGAGGAGACCCCATTTTTATGCTATCTATAAGTATGTTAGACTGGGTCACTGGATGCTGGCTAATGTGACCGATGGACTCCTTTAAAATGAGAAGACTGCTTTCTTATTCCCTTGGCTTCTTGGCTACAGAGCCCAACTGCCATTTCAAAGTACAACCAACATACGAGCACTGTAGAAGTCCTGAGGACGTTTTCTCTGGACTTCTGTATCTGTGGGAAAGTCCCTTGCTTTCAAGACACTTTGTCACCAGTCTTACAGTAAACTCTCCTGCATTCCAGTGTTTGGAAAGGACAAAGACAAGGAAACACACATGTGCTTGACGCAGAACTGTGCTGCTTCCTGCTTAGCAACCCCCCAAGGCATACGCACCCTTCTTTCCTTTGGAATTTTCCCTTCTGCCTCTAGCTTCGCCCGTGCTTGTCTCCTTTTAAGGATGCGGTGGTACTGCTTGGCATTCACATACAGGGGCTCTTCTTCCAGCATCTCTGCTCCAGGTAAAGGGATTCTCTGGATAGCAGGCACAGAGCCAGCTCCCGGTACCATCTGCATGAACAGGAGACCAGATCTTATTACTAGCATGAAAACTCTAAATAAAATTGCCCATTCACACCCATACTGCTGTATCTGCAGCATCTAGACTAGCCTGGTAACTGGTAAGACATCAGAATGAATTATGCTTCCCATGGATCTAGACCACTGCTAGTGCCTTAAGGATGGAGTTAGCTTCAAATCCAAAAGTTACCACCATAAACAACTTCACCAGAGAACTTCACAACTTGCAGCTCAAAGACAAGAAAACCCTGTGAAAGCTCCAGTGCCAGGGAACACTTTCCTTACCATGACCATTCCTCCGGAATTGACCACATTCCCTGCCACTGGCAGTGTCACAGTGACAGTCCCTTGTCCACTGCTGGTTGTGTTGGTATTGGCTCCTGTCTGAACGATCTGTGCCCCTGCCAAACTGGCTGCTGGGATGGTGATCATGCCTGAAACAGGGACTGTAACTTTAAGAAAACCAAACATAAAACAAAAACAAAACAAACAGGTACACGAACAGAAAGAAGGGAAAACAGTTAGTCCCTTCCACCTGGCTCCTGTATACCCTCCTGGATAAACTAACCAACACCACGGAAGAAATGAGCGTCTTCTACTGCTTCACTGTGCCCTGCTGAGTAAGTAGTCCATCTAAGTTCATTGTTCAAAGTTTAACAGTCTAGGGCCCAATTCCAAATAAAGTATACTTCTACCCACCACCACAGAATCTGGCTGAGATATCCTTTCTAGACTTAGCTTCCAAAGCATTTAAGTTTACTCTGTGCATGTTTTCCCTGAAGGCAAGTCTAGATTTCTCACAGGAGATCTTGTCTTTACACATCTCTTACTAGGGTGTACTTCTCTAAGACCTGCACTCTCTATGGCGTTCCCATCTTCTTAGCTAGACTGAGGCTGTGAGGTGTTCTCGTGACTCTAAGTAAACACCTATGTGAATAGATGTAGAGGCCACAATGACATGGAAGGAACTCTAGTCACCAAGTAGCATCAAGCTGGTCATATGTCGTGATTGGCAATCACTGCAGATGTGGTGGGAATCCTGTTGTTGTTCAAACATGACATGAACTTATGGACTTCACAATGATTCTGAAGCACTCTCAGGTACTCGAAGGCTAAAACTAATGCCTTGAAAAGGGCCACTGCAATAGCGGCAGCTTACCTTGCTGGAGAATTGTGCCATCAGCATTAACTGGCTGGTAGACAATGGTCTGCCCTTCAGCAGTCTGGGCCACCTGCTGTCCCTGGACAGCAATCTGTTGTTGTGTCTGTAGAAGACAATGACATACTTAACAGACGCCAGAGACCCAAGGAGACTCCATCTTGATAACACTTATCCCATTCACATTCTATGTGAGCCAAGTGGCTCATTGCTCAATTCTTCCACATCAGCTGTACTGATGCCAGTGGAGCTGATAGACTCACCTGTGTCTGGCCAGCAGTGACTGCAGTCTGTGGCTGCTGAATGATGATCTGCTGGGTTTGACCCTGCTGGCCTTGCACCTGCACAGCCTGCCCACCCTGGATCTGGATCTGTCCGGGAGGCACCAACTGTATCTGTGGACGAGAAAACACAAAAAGCCTGGCACCACATTCACACCACTCCTTTGGTTCCTTCTTTGTTTTTGCTTTTTATTTTAAGTATATGGGTATTTTGCCTACATGTATATATGTGCACCATATGTGTGCCTGGTGTCCAAAGGCCAGAAGAGGGAGTTGGTTCCCCTGGAACTAGAGTCACAGATGGCTGTGACCACCAGGTGGTGCTGGAAATCAAATCTGGGTCCTCTAGTAGAAAGTCTAGTGTTCTCAACTGATAAGCCATCTCTCCAGCCTCACTCTTTGGTTTCCGAAAATTAGCTGAATAAATTCCACTAGAGACCAGGAAACAGCAGGAGAAATGTGCCTGTAATTCTACAACTTGGAAGGCAGAGGCAAGATTATCAGGAATTCAAGGCTAGTCTTCGGGACATAAAAGTGTCCCTTTAAGAAATAATTGTTGGTGGCATGGTTAAATATATTTACTTACCTAAACATACTCCAAAATGCTGTTATAAATGAATAAATAAAACAACTTTTAAAATATATTCTTTCTAATGTAACTGTCAAGCTGACGGTAGCCAAGGGAATGCTTTCATTAGGTCCTTGATAGCCAGAGATCAGCTGTCAAGACTCCTGATCCACAGAAATTGAAATGTATAACCATCCATTTGACTGGATATAAAATCCCCATGAGAACAAACACTAGTCTGTTAAAGAGTTTCTAGATTAGATGAACAGAGGTGGCACCCTATGAGTTGGGGTCTTGAAAGGAGACAGCAGAACAGCGGCATCCGTCCCTCTGCCTCCTGCTGCTGCCTGTTCCCTACCATGCTGAACCCACACCCTTAGCTGCGAGTCAGCAGGAAAGAGACTCATACAAACTGCTTCGTGCTGTAAGCCAACAACCTCTGGGATGCGGTGTTCCACAGCAGCAAGAGAGAAGAGGGTCCAATCCCTCACTCTCACTCAGCACTGCTGTTAGTGTTCACTAGCTCTTCCTACCTCTACCCTGCAGGTTTTAGAGCACCAAATCTCACACTACAAACATGGAAAGCAAGAGATCCTGTGAGGTAACCACTTATCTGGAGGATCATTAGAATCTTGACAAGAAGTTTTAATGTTTTTCTTTGAAATCCTGTAGCTTGACAAAACAAAAAGCCGTAACACTTTACTCAAGGAACAACATCCTATTTTCTTGAGCACAGGATATAAACATTTAAAAGAACCGACGGGAACACATTTTAGGAAGGCCCCACAACTCAAAATGTCTGATACTTCATACTCTAGAATATGCCCAACCCAAGCCAGGGTACCTAGCTACCTACTTAAAGGAAGTCTGGCCTCACCCCGCCACAACCTTCCTTCTCACTGGCTTTGCAATCATCTGTCATTGTTTCTTTGACCCTCTGGAGCATTCCTAGATCTAGAAGCCTGAAGGATGTGCCTAGAGCCTCAAGTCCCCAGCACTCTCCAGATGACCGACGGTGGAGGGAGGGAAGGGAAGGCAAGCAGGCCAATGGCCCTGTGTCTTAGAGACCTCCGTAGACCTTTCTGTTGGGCTACACATTGCCCAAGTTTTCTAATGACCTCCGTAGACCTTTCTGTTGGGCTACACATTGCCCAAGTTTTCTTAAGGACTCGAATACTACTTAACTCATAATTAAAACTGTTGGCAGCTGACTAGGTCAGCAAATGCATCTGTTTTCACCTGGAGTGTTTCGCTCCAGGGCTTCAGGTAGCAAGGACCACATTACTGTCTGTGCTCCTGTTATGTATTACGGCACAACAAAGGCAGAAAGACTAAGTATAAAATAAGGGGTAGGACTCAAGGAAAAGCAGCTGGGTTTTGGCTTTTTTTTTTTTTTTTTTTTGCAGCAACTTCTTCAAAATGTCTGCTCTGCAGGCTAGGGAGACAGCTCAGAGGTAAGGCATGTGGTGCACAGCACAGGGTCGGACTGGAACCTTGGCATCCACAGGAATTCATGGCAGGACGATTTACATCTGCAGCCCTGGAGCAGAGGACGGGCATGGGTGGGCCAGACACCGTGGAGTCTCGACTACCCAGTTCATAAAAGTGTCTCAAAAACTAAGGTGAAGATGGACGCCTGGCCTCCACATGTATGTACAAACCTGTACACATATGAATACATACACCATCCACACGCACAGCAGACTTCTACTCTGATGGCCACTCACCTGCTGTAACCCTTGTGTTCCAGACACAGGTACTTGCATGATAGTCTGGCCCTGCCCCCCAGGCACAGCCTGTACCATGATGGGCTGGCCAGTGGATGTAATGAGCTGGCCTCCACTGACTTGCACCATTAATGGCTGCCCCTGGACCTAGAAAGAAATAAAGTAACAATGAAATAGTGTAAGACACAGCAGCTTCACCAAGACAGTCACTGCAACTATCCTGCTGCCTGCAAGAGGAGAGGCAAGGCAGATTTAGGAAAGTCAGTCATCCACCTCCCCACCAGGGTCTCTAGTACTATAGCTGGCCTTGAACTCAGATATTGTGCCTTTGCCTCCAAGTGCAGAGACTAAATCCTGGCCTGAGATAGTGTTTTTAAACTCTAATCAGACCCTCTGCAGTAGCAGTATGTACTTACTGAGCCATCTCTACAGATCCAAGAAAAGTCAGTCTTATGCTCTTCAGATACTTCTGATTATTTTTAAGTACCAAGCTGGCTATTCAAAGGTCAAATGGAACAGAACCTATCTAGAGTCTGGAAAATCCCAATAGATGTAAGGCATTCATCACCAAACACAGGCTGAATCCAAGAAAGCAGCCAAGTTACCAGGACTGTGTGCCCGCTCAGGCTGATCCTCAAGACCCACAGTGGTGAGAGGGGCGGGGGAGTGGTGAGAGGGGCGGGGCTGAGAAGTGACTGGAAAGCAGCCTTAGCTTTATATCCTAGACAAGAAGAGTTCTGAAAGCCCGCTTGGAGCTTCCCTCCAGGGCCTCAAGAAAAAGTGAAATATTTACTTCTAATCTACTCTGAGGGTTCCAGGAATGGCTGCTGCTTAGAGTCTACTACTAAAGACTTGTGAACAGGAAGCTGAGGCAGGAGCAGCGTGGGTTTTAGGACAGAAGGGGCTGCAGCGAGCCCCCCCAACCCCCGTTTCAAAGAAAACAAAGCCAAGATTGGTCAGAAGCATTTTCCAGCCAGTCTGTGATCATTAAGGTAGAGTTTTTCAAACTGCATTGTAAATATCTGCATAGTTGTTTTAATTATCAGAAGCAATGACACCCTGAAATCAGACAGCTATTATTGTGTGTAAATAGAATATTTCCACTTTTCAAGTCGTCCACATCAACAGACACTCTAGAAAGGAAGCGATGCAATGCTCAATCATACCTTGAACCCCAGTGTGAAAACTCAGGAATGCCTTTCAGAGGCCCAGACAGAAGCCGCTGTGGAATAACAAGACAAATCCCAAACTCCTTTGGAGAGAGTGTCTTTGCTTAACAGAACAGACTGGCACATTTGTCCTTGGTCCCAGCAGAAGTCAATTCCAACAGCATCAATCCCCTGTGCAGATGTGTGTCCTAGATGTGTAAGGTATGTAAGGCTCTCCACTACTCTCCATCAGAACCATCAGCCCAACCTCAGGGTTGTCCCTTGAGAAACACATGACTTTGAAGATGTTATGGCTTATTTACTTACATTCTCTCCTCTTTAAGTCTCCATAAATCCCCTTTGCTACACCAAAGCTTTGTGTGCTGTGTTAGGAAATGTTAGCAGGAGCCTGACTGCAGAGTAGGAGACTCGCGAGAAGGCCCATTACTTCCATTTCACTTTAGTGCAATCTCAGCTAAGTAAGCTGACACAGCTGTGTTGTTGTAGCGCACGGGAAGAAGCTCTTGGTGTCAGAGTGGAAGCCAGAAGCTGACCCTGGATGTCATCTTCTATTGCTTGCTACCTTGTTTTGAGACAGTCTCCTGGAGCTCCCTGCCACAGGGACAGCCAGCCAGCCACAGGTTCTGCCTCTTTCTAGCTTCTAATGCTGGGGTTCCAGGACAAACCTACACATTTAAATGACTTCTATGGACCCAAGTTAGGTCCTCACACTTGCATAGCAAATGGGGCACACTGAGCCACTGCCTCAGTCCCCAAAGTTGACACAAATTTAAAAGCACTTAATTTTCAGGTTATGCATCCTCTGCCCCCCCCCCGCCCCTCCCACACTAACATGCTATATACGCATGCGGTAAAGGGTCTGAGAGCCAGGAGCTCATGTGTCTACAACAAACGATCACAAGGACTCATGCATGAGACAACGAGCCACACAGTTAAGAGCATGGTACATTCCCATTCACACAGTGGTTAATGACAATCCCAGACGCCATTTCATGTATTAAAAAGGTGAAGCAAGCAGGAACAGAGAGCTGCTGCTCTCCCTGATACTCGAACTGTGCAGGAAGGTAAAACAAGCTTCTTTTGTTTTAATGTATGTGTAGAATTGGTTGTGTGTCATCATCAAACACTACTAAGTGGCAGGGCTGGGACAGGCTGAGCGAGTCACGTGCTTACAGCAGTGGTTCTTAACGGGTGGGTCGCAACCCTTTGGGGGCCGACAGATCCTCTCACAGGGGCTGCCTAAGATCATCGGAAAACACAATATTTACATTATAATTTGTAACAGTAGCAAAGTTACCTTTATGAAGTAGCAATGAAAATAACGTTACGGTTGTGGGCCACCCTTTGAGGAACTGCATTAAAGGGCTGCAGTATCAGAAAGGTTGAGACCCAGTAACTTACAGGAAAGGATAGTTACCTGTAGGAGAGTCTCAGTAACATTCTCAATAAAGTGAGATGCCAGACGACTCTGGAGGCCCTACTGAGTCAATCCAAGTCAACAGAAGAACAAACTCCGGGAGGGCAGGTATCCAAGTCTTGCCAATTTCTCAAAACCTTTAGTTCTTTAACGAACCCAGAGAAGACCAACGCTGCTACTCGTTTTTTCACAGGAATTTAGGGTATTTAACAAGCATACATAATACTGAAGAGCAGCATTGATTAACTCCAGTTTTTGTTGTTGTTGTTGTTGTTGTTGTTGTTGTTGACTTTTAAAGCATATCAATGCAACCAGTAATCACTTTTTGTTTTGTCCCAAACTCTCATTCCTCCTAGCTTCATATCCCAACTGCTGGATAAGACACATGTATCATCACCGTGTCCTATGCTGCCACTTAGAGATATGCAATCATCTGTACAGAGCTTGTAATGAGACATGAGAGGTATGCGATTCTCAGATAAGCTTTGCTTAGTGCAATGGCTGTTCTGTAGTCAAGTTGCACATTTAGCAAAACTAAAACACAGTGTAGCCGAGTCTCCCCATGTGTGCACTCCCTTCTCCAGTGTAATACAATTCATGAAACTCTGACCCATGCTGGATTGGGAGCTGAGGACTGAGTAAGATCTGAAGCCACCTGTAAAACTGATTCCTGTTGCTTGCTTCCCAGTCTTTCTAAAGCAATATACTTAGTGTGCACTTCTGAGAAGACAGACACAGCAATCACTACATGTCTTGGCATGGGACACTGGAATACTGGCCTCAGAGACAGGTTAGCAGCACAAAAGGCATGCGACTTTGCCAATCAATTTGAGATCTGAACACAAACAGCAGCAGACAGGCAGCGTTCATGCAGCGCTCACAGAGAATCAGAGAGGGCACCACTACCTGGAGGGTCTGGACTTGCTGGCCTGAGGCGGATGCCACCTGGGCCTCAGTCTGCAGCTGGACAGCAGTGACACCACCCTGCTGCTGAGAACAGGAAGAGGAAGAGCTTGAAATGTATCAGGATGGAAATGTGCAGCCGAAGACAGCAGATCGCTGAGGGAGATGGAAGGGTGCCTCACCCCACACAGGAACTTTCAAAGTGTGGACTCCTATAGTCAAGCTGTCATGCTGCAAGAGCTGTCCTTAGAGTAGACCTCACAACAGATTTTTATGACGTAAAATACAAAGATTTATAATGCAGTCCTCCCGAGGAATTTTTCCCTTCTGCTAGACATATATGTTAAGGATCTCTTTATCTCCTTAGGGTCACAAGAACAAAACCACCAGGTTTTAAAGCCTTGAAACTACAATGACGAGTTTCTGGGGCTTTAATGCGTCACTATGAAGGAACTAGCCATGGCGACTGATCCAGATGCCAGGTCAGGATGCTACTGCTTTTACATCCCCAAATGAAGATTATTTCTATCCAACTGACTGCTTAGAGGCCATGTTTTCAGAAAGTCCACCTTATTTCCTGGGGAGTCCTCACAGAAGAGGGACCCACCAACAAGGCTCTGCCCATAGTTGGAAGGCCCCTCCAGGGCCCATTCTCTAAGGCCCTTAGGAAGATGCCGGTGATACAGCAGAGTGTGGACAGGAATCCACCATGCTCAGCCCATCTCCCCTCTTAAGTGGCTTGGAACTCAACCATCACTACTCCCTTCACCCTCCCTGCTATTCTGTACTAGCGAATCTCTGCTCTCGGGAGAAAGAACACTGAGGACAACCGTCTTGGCTTATAATCAAATCGAAACAATATCTTTCCCTCCAAAGTCCAGGAGTGGGGGCAGGGAGAGATTCACTAACATAAACCCAGGTAAAAGCATCAAAAAATGGTATCTGTGCATTAATTCAGACATCTGACCAACTTTACTGTGGAAGGCGGCAGTGGCAAGGCTCTTTTTCAATATGTACTTATCCACAGAGTAGCGACCAAGTATTATTCTAGTATTAAACCACAACTGTTCAGAATTAACTCTGAACAGACTGGTTGGAATCTGACAATTGTCTGCTGTGGCCACATTCTTACTTTATCACAAGTTAGCATAAACAAGGGAAATAAGCAGAGAAAAGCAGGGTAGGTATCATTTCAATGAGCTAACAGAGAGTAATCTACTTTTAGAGTGATTCTCATGAAGAACAAGTACCAGGTGGCAACAGACTGATTCACAGCGCATGAGACAGGAGCTATGAAGTCATGAGATGAGAACTTCCTAAGGTCTGACTGGGTCTGAGTCCTTCCACAGAAGAACTATCAACAGTCCCGATGCTCCATCACTCTGTGGTACTGTGAGGGCCAAAGCACACCTGCTCCCATACCTGCTGCTGAATCTGGCCGGCCTGCACCACGATCTGCTCTGTGGAACTATTGCTGTTTGTCGTATACTGCTCCATGGTCCGGCCACGTTAAGAGTCCTGAAGCTTCACTCTACAGATCCCAGGCAGCTTCCAGGTAGGGACTCCTATTAAAAAGCGAAGGAAAAAACCTAAAATGAGTCAATCAGTAAAGGCTCTCTTATGATACTTACTATACATACATACATGCACACATACATACATATATATATACACATAATTATTTGCAGTATTTATAATATAAGAGAACACCAGTTGGAGACGCTCATACATTCTTTTGGGTTTTGTTTGTTTTTTAAATAAAAGAGGACTACATAGCACAGTCTTAAAAAACCATCACAGTCAGGCTGGTAGTGGGTATCTGCAATACCAGTACTGGAGAGGCTGAGGCAGGCTGCTGAAAGTTTGAGTCAGTTTGGGCTACACAAACCAACTCCCTCAGAGACTAACCGAACAAGCCACAGTATTTTATTTTCACTTTAACTGTGAGGATGTGTGGGGTTGAAAAGTACATGTTCACACCATGGTGGCCAGGACATAGAGAATGAATACTCCAAGTGGCCAGGGTAAGATCTAGTCCCCAATAACAAACACTCCTCTCAGTAACCCACTTCTAATTAGGCCCCACTTACCAATAATGATATCCTATAAATCCACCCAGATCAGAACCCTCAGGATGCAACACTCCTCCTATAAACAACATCCTCGGAAGACAAGCCCAGGTGTGCTTTATTTCCTGTTTCTTACCCAGTTAAGCTAATAAGACTGACCACCTTTCAGTATTGCCAGAATAACACTTAGAAGCACTGTCAGACCATCTCTTGTTGCAAGGTCTACAGCAGAGAATTTGTATACATGAGTCCAAACATGTTACTCTCTTGAGCCACATATGTAGCAAACAACCTCAGGCTAGAGGTTTGTTACTAAGTAGTTCAAATATTTTGCTTATCAAAATCTCCAGTCTACCTGAGCCTGGGGTGTCTATGTTTATAGTCCCAGCACTTGGCAAAGAGAAGATGAAGACCACCTGTGTCAGGTCAGCCTGGGCTACACAGTAAGTTCAGGACAACCTATGCTTGAGAGACACTTTGCCTGTAAACAAACTCCACCTTACAGAATCATGTCTATTAAACACCCCCCCCCCCCAATTTCCTGTGCACAGTGATGCAGGCTTAAACTCAGCAGATAGATCTGAGTTCAAGTCTCTACTGGGAGTTCATTCCAGCCAGGGCTACATAGTGAGACCCTGTTTCAAACTCCAGTAAGCAGCACTAAGTAGGACCACTAGCAACGTTTTGGGAACTGCGCTATAGTCTAGGATAGTGACTTCGATGAAATGGTATCAATGATAGCAGGCATTTAAAACTTGATAAAGCACAGCCTGTTTCCACGTGGTGTACCAATACCCACACGAGGTGTTTAAAACCCGGTTTAGTGCCAAATCCCACGTATACTATTCTTTGCATATTTACCATGCAGCAAAGCCTAAACAGTGAACCCAAATAAACCTTTCTTGGTTGATTACTTCAGGTTATTTCTTAGAAACTAAAAGGTACTGTCTTAGGGTTTCTATTCCTGCATAAAACATCATGACTAAGAAGCAAGTTGGGGAGAAAAGGGTTTATTCAGCTTACACTTCCATACTGGTCTTCATCATCAAAGAAAATCAGGACTGAAACCCAAGCAGTTCAGGAAGCAGGAGCTGATGCAGAGGCCATGGAGGGATGTTACTTACTGGCTTGCTTCCCCCCTGGCTTACTCACCTTGCTTTCTTATAGAACCCAAGACTACCAGCCCAGGGATGGCACCACCCACAATGGGCCCTCCCACACTTAATCACTAATTGAGAAAATGTCTTACAGCTGGATCTCATGGAGGCATTTTCTCAACTGAAGCTCCTTTCTCTGTGATAACTCCAGCTCGTGTCAAGTTGACACACAAATAACAATATTCAAGTGTGTGCCTAAACACTGACATATAAAACTTCTTTTATGTTCTACTATACTTTCTTCAAAATCTCTTCTATCCATCTTGTGGCCCCATTTCTAAGTATATAATCTCTACCCACACAAACATCTACTCACCCACTACCACAGAAGTAAAGCTAGGATTGCCTATGCCCTAGGGAAAAAAAAACATGTGTTAAAAGAGTCTGACTTATCTTGCTAAATAAAATGTAACATGCATTAGTTAGGGTTCACTGCAGGAACAGAATAGAGTAAATCCACGTATACGTATATGTGGAAGAGGTTAGACTGGCTAAGAGGCTGTGGTCCAGCTAGTTCAACAATGACTCTCAATAGAAAGTCCAAGAATCCAATAATTGTTCACCCATGAGGTTGCTGTCTCAACTGGCCTTCAGTATAGGTCAGGAACCTGGAGAAGTAGGCCTTATGCCAGTGAAGAAGCAAGAACAAGCAGGCCAAGACCCAGTGAGAAAGTTTCTTTCTTCTAAGTCCTTTATATAAGTTGGCACCAGCAGAAGGTGTGGCCCAAAATAAAGGCAGATCTTCTTATCGCAAAAGATCTGGATTATAAAATTCCATTGTACATATGCATGGCATTTGCATTATCCATTCTGTTGATGTTTTGCATAGAAGAGAGTCAAGTACTTCTGATGTAGTGTAGAATCCTCTGAGTAAAACCAAACCAGCAGAGTAAATAACTAGGACTCCTCTTCCCTACACCCTCGGCAGCATTTGTTGGTCTTTATTTTCTAAATGAGAGCCCGTTTTGACTTGGGTAGGGAGGTGGAGCACTTTGAATTTGCATGGCCCTGGTGGATAAGGAAATGCTGGCCCTCCCTTCCTTTGTGTCTTTCTGAGAACTGCAGAGCCCATCTGACTGGCAGTTTTAGTCTGCTGGTGTTAATGTTTGCAGTTCTGGGAAGATGGCTCAGCTGGCAAAGTACATGCCTCACGAGCAGGAGCTAAGCTTGATCTCAAAATGCCCAGAACACTAGGTGTGCTGGTCAGTTTCTAAGGCCAGAGCTGGGGAGGCAGAGACAGCACAACTTCTGGGACTCTAGTTCAGCCTAATTGGTGAGCTTCAAAACAATGAGTGACCTTGTCATAAGGAGGGCAGTTACCTTCAACAGACAAACACACTAATGGTATGCCGGCAAAAACTTTGATTTTAGAGGCTATTTACTTTGCTAAATTTTAAATTTTAATTTCACAAAACCCCATCTGCTAATTCTTAAGACTTACTCCCAGGGCCAATGCGGCCCTCCTCAGAAAGTTCATCTCCTTTAGAGCCACAGCACCCTGGAAAAGCTGCTCCTGTCTTATCTCACAACCCAAGCACTGATCAGTCCTCAGGACTTGGATGAGACAGTGTTTTTTTCTGGGTCTATATCTTGATTTCCCCCCAGTAGTAACTTACTTTTATAGTAATAAAAAATAAAATGAGTCTGTAGAGAGATGAACCAGCGTTAAACTTGGCAGATGGTAATTACAGAGTCTAAGTAGTAGGTATATGGGTATTCATAACATTCTTTCAACTTCACTGTCTGGAAATTGCTGCATTACCATGTAGGGGAACTAGTCAACAAAAATAACAATCAGGCTCATCACTCACAACGAAAACAGACCACTGTGCTTGCATCGTGGGTTCCAACGCACTACTCAATACACAGATTTCTGGCTCTGACTTGAACTTACGGACTTACAAAGGGAAGATAATATGAATGGCAACATAACTAGATTTCCTCACTACCTCCTGAGCAACGTATGCAAGCTTGATTGCTACTTTTACTAGCATGTGTTCACTTTATAAAACAAAGGTTTTCATCTGTAAGTTTTTACAATATACATAACCTGTCTGAATACTCTGACCCCATTTTTCACTTTACAAATAATCCCCTTCTTGTCTTTAGATTATGCATATGAGAGAATATATTTGGTATTTATATTTCTGAATACATCTTTCCCTTACTATAAAGCCTCAGTACCATCCATTTCCCTACAAACAACATAATGTGTAATACATTGAGCATACATTTTTTTCTTTACCAGGTCACTCACTGATTGGTACCTACAGACTCCCTAACTTGGTGAAGACACAGCAATGAAGTACCTACCATGCCTTTAGTATACGTTGACTCTAGTTTCTTCAGGTGTACTCCCAAGACAGTACAGCAGGATCATATAGTGGTGGTTTTTTTTTTTTTTTGGGGGGGGTCTACACTGTGATGGCTTTTCTTGGTGTCAACTTGATACACCTGGTATTAGCTAAAACCCAGCAGCTGGGTACACCTGTGAGGAATTTTTCTAAGTTAAATCATTTGATACGGTAAGGCCTACCTTTAATCTGGCTTCACCTGGTGGCAGTCCATATAAAGGAACTGGAAGAAGTGTTTGCCCTTTGCCCGCTTGCCCTTGCCGGCAAGTTCATTCCTTCACCAGCTGTGCAGCTGTACTTCTAGATTCTGGCATACACTGAAGACCAGCTGAAACTAAAATATCCAGCCTAATGAACTAGATTCTTGGCCTTTCTGTTGGTAGAAAGCCACTGCTGGACTAGTTGGATTACTTATAAGAACCTTAAAAAAACACACACACACACACACACACACACACACACACACACACAGAGTCATGTCTCTGTTCTATTCCTGAAGAACTATGACCAACACACCAATTTCCAAACACTCGAGAGTGGCAGAACTGACTTCTATTCCAACCCATGATGTTTAAGAGCTTTTCCCATCATCACCAGCACTCTATTTTCTTGATGATAGCTATTCTGACTGGTGTGAGAAGGAATTACAGTATAGTTTTGATCTGCATTTTCCTGATGGCTCAGTATGTCATTTTTAAACACATCTACAGGCCATTTGTATTCTTTTGAGAACTGCCTAATCTATTTGCTTGTTTATTGCTTAGATAATTTTGTGTGTAATTTCTGAGCTCTTTCTATAATCTGAATATTAATCCCGTCAGCTGAAAAGTTGGCTCTGTTTGCTGATTTTACACCAGCCTTTTTGAGCCAGTTGACTGAGCTGATGCTTGAGACTCCAGGTCCAATATGGAAAGCCAGCCAAACTAAGTGGCTCCCTTAGGGAAACTAATGTTTCCCTTACTTAAGGTGAGGGCACTTGAGAGTATTGACAGGTGGCTGCATGGTCCAGGCTGCCCTCAAACTCAAGAGATCCACCTGACTGCCTTCTGAGTGCTGGGGTTAAAAGCCTACATTAGCCGGGCGGTGGTGGCGCACGCCTTTAATCCCAGCACTTGGGAGGCAGAAACAGGCAGATTTCTGAGTTCGAGGCCAGCTGGTCTACAGAGTGAGTTCCAGGACAGGCAAGGCTATACAGAGAAACCCTGTCTCAAAAAACTGGAAAAAAACCAAAAAACAAAAACCTACATTACCATAGTCCACCCAAATGTTCCCAAATTTTACCTTGTGTCTAACAGTGTATCTGTCTCCAGACTAACAAACTGAGGCTACAATATATAGAAGCATGGCCCCATGGTAAGAACCTCTGCTAATAGTAGCCTAGACAGAAAACACATCTGAGTTCCTTGAGTAGGAGAGAGGGAGGGAGGGAAGGGAGGAGCTGTTCTGGAGATGATCAGAAGTCTCAAGTGCGGACTGTACAGCTCTGGAGAGCTTTAACAACTCACCAAAACACACACATATGCAATGATTACATTCTGATGTAAAAACAGATATTAATATCCGTTGTATTTCAACACTTCCACTAGTCCCAAGACACTTTCCTATAAAGCTTTCTTCTTGGCTGAATTTCCTAAACCTGCATCGTATCAGATTAAAAGCAGAATGGAGCTTGAAGTCGGTTCAAGGGCTGGAATGGCTGTAAAGGAACATTTGGATCTAATTCATTTATTTTGCTGAAACAAATGTTCCACTCTCAGGCCATTGAGACCTACTGTGTTTTGAAGAGTAAAAACAGAGGCAGCTTCAAATCCAGCAGTCACAGTTGATAAGGGAGTGACAGAGCTTGGAGCGCAACCCTCAGGCTGCGCATGGTGCCTGCTTCTTGGCTCCAGTGCTACATGCTCCTTCCTTGTCAACCTCAGCAAGCAGAACTGGGACACACTTCCTTTCCTCAAGCATTTCTTGCCCAAGTTTATGACAGAATTGAGCCAGCTGGATTTAGTCTGTCTAGCTCTTCCACAAACTTGTGAATGTGTTTTTGAAAGTGAGAATACGAATGAGAATGGATTTATTCTGGCCTGAGACATTCTCTTTCCATAGCATGTACATGTCCCAGAGGCAGTTGGCAGGCACTTAGAAAGGTAATCTATCTAAAGATGTTCAAAAGCTGAAATGCTCAGAAGTGCTACTGCAATGAGCATACGATCACCACAGTCCACCTGACTGGACAATCACAGACACCAGACTGCTCCAAATTTGCTCCTTTTCTCCACTAATGATATAACATAAAACCACCCCAAAAAACACCACCACCACCACCACCACCACCAAACACACCCAAGATTCTAACGTCAAAGAGGCTTTAAGTGTAAAAAGGAGCAGGACTATCTACTAGACCATAAAGGGAGATAAATAAATGGAGTTTGGGGGACAGGGGCTTTCCACTGGGGAAACCACAAGGAATGTGTGTCCTGTGAATTAGATTTAAGTGTGAGAGCTTATCCAGATGATGAGAGTCTAGGGTGAAGTATTTCAAACAAAGGGAAAATGTTTGGGCTGTGTCTAGAGAAAGAGAAGTCTGCACTACTTTTTCTTGAACTGCAGATGCAGAGGAACCAGTGGAGGCTCCACAGGCCTGAGTCACAGTGACCAGAGGACAGCTACCTTTTGTCCACAAAAACATTTGGCAGTTTTGAAGTGGACAGATACATCCATTTTTAAAACAGCAACCAAAGTTAGAAGACCCAGTCCAAAGACAAGACAAACATATTCTTTAAAAGACTGAAGCTGTGCTGATGCAGTCCGTTTACTATCACAGATGTAAGAAGTGTGCTGACTCGTTTGTCAACTTGGCATAAGCTAGGGTCTTCCAGTATGAGAAAGCATCAACTGAGAAAATGCCTCCTTAAGACTGACCAGTAGACAAGCTTGTGGGGCATTTTCCTCAATGTGGGAAGGCACAAACCTATCGGTGTTATCGAAAGAGTCCCAAGCTTAAGAAAGGCTGTAAAAGCCATGAAGAACAAGCCAGTAAACAGCACCCTTCTTTGGCTTCTGCTTGAGTTCTGGTCTTTACGTCCCTTCATGGTGGAAAATGAAATATACCTCCCAAGTTGCTTTTGGTGTGGTGCTTATAGCAATATAAAAAAAAAAGAAAAAAAGAAAAAAGAAAACTAGAACATAAGAGAATTTAGAAAACAATTTAAAGAAAAATGTGAATCCAGCCGTTTTGGCTTGGAAGGCACATCGCATTCGTTTTCTCACACCCACAGTCCACCTGACTGCAAGTTCAGCAAATGTGACTTAAGACACCACACACAGAAAATCGGCTCCCGGCTTCACCTGAGTAAAAAATAATTTCCCTCTCCCAGGTAGAAAATTTTTTCTTCCTTTAAAAAAAAAAAACAACCAGCTATTATTATGGGGTAGAAAGAATCCTCAGGTTAGCAACCTTTTTCCCCAAGGTTAGGGGAGAAATCCATTCTAGATCACTTTTAATCTCCAGTCAAAACTGTTTTCAAAAAATTCCTTTGTAAGATCTGCCACGGTTTTTACAAACTGGACTTTCCCGCCTAAACTCAGTAGTACTGGCCCTCCCTGCGTCCAACCGCACTACTGGTTCCAGTTATTTTTTTCCAGTCTTTCCGAGGACATTATCCTCCAACACTCAATCAAAAGTGTGGCGATGAAAATAGGCTTTCTCAAGCAAACAGCACTTCTCCGTACTGGATTAGACCCCTATGAAACACTAACATCAGTCAATCTCCACGGAGCAGGCATGACTCCTACCCCTACCCTCTCCCCCTTGCAGCACTTTAGTGATGCCCACCAAAGACTAATAGCTAGCAGCCCTTGCTTGGAAGACTTCCTGTCGCCCGAAGAGGGGAAGAAAATCTAAGCATGTGTAAGTTTTAAAACATCAGTTGAGAAAACGTTCGCGCGGGATTTCAAAGTGTATTAATAGACACGAGTGGGCTGAGCTACTGAGTGGAGACTGTCACAAAAAGATGAAAGGAAAACAAAACCAGAGAGCATTCATGGGAGAAAGATCAAGGAAGGAGACGTGGATAATAGGAACTGCGAGATGTGTGCCCCCAATCATTAAGAATGCACACGGTTATCAGTTCTGCAAACATCAAGGTTTCTAACACCGAGATACGGAGCAAAAAGAGGAAGACCGCTTCGTTGGGCTCCAGCACCGAGGTGTGCCGACACCGCGGACTGAGCGGGGAGGAAATGACGAGCCAGAAAGGGGTGGTAACGGCGCCGGCCCGGAGCCCCGGTGGCGGGCCGAGAGGAGGGGCGCGCCGGGCGCGCCAACGGCCCCGGGGTGGGTCTCGGAGGCCGCGCCGCGCGTCTCCGCCTAGCCTCGCTCCGGATCTGTAGTCCCAACTGCGCAGAGCCTAAGGGTACGCGGGGCTCGTCGGGGCCCGGAACGCGGGGACACAAGAACAGGTCGTAGGATGAGGCTGGAACTACGTGGGAAAACCGCCGCGGCCCGTGGCTGGGCGGTCAGCCACCTGACCTCCCGGGACCCGCGGACCGGGAACCAGCAGCACATCTGCCACCAGCACCCGGAGAGGATCCAGGTCCCGAAAAGCCTGGCTCCAGGGCGCCATCCCAACGCTAGACGGCCCCGGTAGGCCTCCACAAACACCAAGCCGGGGCTGCTGGCTACCCAGCTCGGGCAGCCTCGGCTCGACTCCCGGGCTCGACGGACGCCTGGGCCTCTCCTGAGTGGTCAGCGAGACCCGCCAATCGGGGCGCTGGGGCCGGCTCTGGGCCGCTGGATATTGGCTCCTCATACTCACCGTGCCTCGCTCCCCCGGTTCGCTGCCCGCGCTGATTGGCTCCAGTACCGGACCCCGAAACCCAATCAGAGGCTCCAGCCGCCGCCGCCGCCGCCACTGCCGCTGCCTCGCAAAATGGCGAATCTGAACAAAGGGGAATCGGGCCTCCCTCCAACCGCCTTCGCGCAAGCGCCTTCGAGACCACGCCCCATAACCCCGGCCAACCTGGCCCCGCCCCCTAGAATGAGCACTGCGCAGGCGTTCCAGTGGCCACACCCACTTCCTGGATTTGACACCGCCTTCCGCCGGAGGACTACGCAGGCGCCTTCCACAAGCGCCGAACTCTTCTCCTTAACACAGCTCCCTGAGTTATATACTACGCAGGCGCTAACACGCCCCCCCCTTTTTTTAAAAACTGTCTACCTATTTCTAAGCGTCCCCTGGGACCCACCCCCCTGGGGACAAATGCGCAAGCGCTCTTCTTCTCAAGTCGGGGTCGGCATCACGGTACGCATGCCTGAGCGGCCGCGGGAGACTACGGAATTCACCGCCGGAAACTCTGAAGCCTTTACTACAGAGAGCGGCCGCGGCTACCTAGCTAGAGAGGCTCACTTCCGCCCCGTTAAGGGATGGGGACGGCCATTTTGAGTGCTTACAATCAAAAGGCTTTGGCGGGATTTGTTCTGTGTCGGGGCTCTTCTGTTGCTTCCCACCTACGAGGGTTTCATCTCGAACCCTTCCCTGCGTGGAGGAGGGCCTGCTGACGGCCGATTCCTTTGCAGGTGAAGGGTGACCCTAGCACCCACTTTTCTTACGGGATCCCAGGATTGCCCTCCTTAGGGTAGAAGGAGAGACTGGGAAGTCTTTTCAGACTTTATCCTTCCTGCACCTCCGAGACCTTTCCCTGAGAAGCTGTTCTCTCCACCTGAGTTCTGTTCACTCTGATTGCCGCTCAGTGTGCCTGTGGCCAATTTCCCATTCTAAGCCATATTCTCTGGGAAAATACTGGAGTGTCCTAAACCTACCCTGCTAGGAGAAGGCTTGAAGTAAGGAGGAGTGTCTTGGGACCGCCTTTGCTTCCGCTCCTGGAAAGCTGTTTCATGTTGCCCCTTAGAGGCTGAGTGGACTCACTTTCAGAGATAATACCTTAAGGCGGTGGGGAAAACTAAGCGGGTTGTCAGGGTGATCTGAACACGCTGTGTTCAGGCTGCCTGAGCGTTTTTACTTGCTTTTTCTTTTCATTAGCAGAAGAAACTCTTAAATTCTGGAAATAGCGACTCAGTATCATGGCCAGCTGCCTTAATGAAGATCCAGAAGGAAGTCGAGTGCGTAACAGCTATTAAATTTATCGGTGAAGCGAAATTCAGAATAATTGAGGTCAAAAGCATAAACACTTTTTAATTAAACCAATAATTGGATTCTCACTCCTCCCCGTTTGTTTCTCTGTAGCTGATTTACTTAGGAAAGGCTAATACAATCCTAGGCAGATAACAACCATCCCTCACTTTCCTTTTACAGATACTTTAAAATATAGTGATTAACTCCTTAAGATGGGGAGGTTTGTCTTTAATTCAGTGTCAGAGAAGCAGGGTCGAGACAGTGGGGGTGGGGCTCTGTTGAAGATCTGAAAGGAGAAAGAGTTTTCCGTTTTTAACCTTTGTTTTTCCTTTGCACGTTTTTAGATCACTTACGTGAAAGGAGATCTTTTCGCATGCCCCAAAACAGACTCTCTAGCCCACTGTATCAGTGAGGATTGTCGAATGGGTGCCGGAATAGCTGTTCTCTTCAAGAAGAGATTTGGAGGGGTGCAGGAACTGTTAAGTCAACGTGAGTTTTGAGAGCGTCGTAGCCTATTTCATGCTGGCCGAAGCCTGGTTTGGTCTTCCATTGTGCTTTGCATACATGTACAATCAAAGAGATTTCTAGTGACTGCTTTTAACTGTTAGGGACTTTTTGTTGCTGCCGCTGCTGCTGCAGTTTTTTAACTTCCTCAAGATTGGCCTCTGATATGGATCTTTACCACACTCAGTCAGAGTTGTCAGAGTTTCCAGTCTCTTGCCTTTTTTGTGTATGAGTTTGCAGTGTGCAGGTACATACCTGTAAGGAGGCTAAGGGTGAGACAGCGTCTCTTAATAACATAGTTTGTCCATGTAGCCCCATTGGGTTAGTCCTGGGCATCCTCCACTGTGTTTTTCCGGTTTGGCCTGTACAGTGTGGACCTGACACCTAGGTTTTCTCTGGATGCTAGGGACCACACCAAGACTCATGTTCGTGCATTATGCAGTAAACTAACTCATCTCCCCAAACCCTCAAGAATTTTTTTCTTCCCAAATATTTCACTTCTCCCAAACTTTGGTTAACTGAAGGGCTTCTCAAGTTCCATATGCTTTGGAGGTGACGCTCCTGTACTAACTGTTATTCTGTTCTTTCTTTGAAGGAGTCTCATTGTGTAGCCTAGGCTGGCCTGCCTCTTGCTGTGTGGCATAAGCTTGTCTTGAACTCTAAGCAGTCTTCCTGGCTCAGTCTCCTGAAGACTGACAGTACAGGCATGAGCCACCTGAAGACTGACATTACAGGCATGAGCCACTACATCAGGCTTTCTCAACTTACTCTTCAAAGTGTGGTTTGGACTAGAAGTGGTAGCAGACACCTTGATCCCAGTGACTGAGATATGGAGGGGGATGGATCACAGTGAGTTGAAGACAAGCCTGATGTCCATAAGAAGTTTCAGGCTAGCCGGGGCTGTGTACTTAGACCTGTGAAGAGTAGTTTGGAAACCACTTTCTGCCAGTGACTTTAAATCAGAACTGTGTATTACAGTACATCTAGAGTTTCTGAAACAATCTCAGACTAGTTCATCCCATCCCTCTTCAGAGTAGCTACTTCTCCAGACCTCTAAGAATATCTACCATTTGCTATGACTCTAGGCTTGGACAAAAGCAGCTTACTGCTTTTGGTTACAGTTATTTTAAATGATGACATTAAGTTGGATGGTGGTGGTGCATGCCCTTAATCCCAACACTTAGGAGACAGAAGAAGGTGGATCTCTGTTAGTTCAAGTCCAGCCTGGTTTACAGAGTGAGTTCTAGGACAGCTGGGGCTGTTACATAGAGAAACCCTATCTTGGGGAAACAAACAAATAACAACAAAAAGCAAATGATGGTACTGTTTCTGAATAGATAATGTAAAAGCTAAAGGCCTTAAATGTTTCTCATAGCATCATGTGGTTGCACACACCCCTACTCCTAGCAGTCTTAAGGCAGAGGCAGGCAGATCTCTGTAAATTCGAGGTCAGCCTGGTCTACAGAGCAAGTTCTAGGACAGCCAGGGCTGCATAAAGAAGTAGAGAGTGGGATGCAGAGGGGGAGTGTTCCTTATAATGTTTAATACAACATGCAGAAAGGCTGTTGTTGGGATAGGGGCGTGATTCAGTCTATAAAGTGCTTGCTGAACAAGCATGAAGGCGGAAGTTTCATCCTCAGAATTCAAGTGTTTGAGTTTGTTTTATTTTTGTAAAGCTAGGTACAAATATGTTTGCTTCCAGTCCTGGGGAGATGGAGGTAGGTGGATCTTTGGGGTTCACTGGCCAGCCAGTATAGCTGGTTCAGGGAGCTCCAGTTTCAGTGACAGACCCTGGCTCAAAAAATAGAAGAATAAAAAGAAAGAAAATATTAGATGGGATGAGGATGCTGGAAAGATGGCTCAGTGGGTAAAAGCGTGTATGGCTTTTGAAGAAGACCCAGATTTGATTCTTAACATCCACATGGGGTATCACAATTGCTTGTAACTCTAGTTCTAGGGAATCTGATGTCTCTGGCTTCCACAGGCACCTATACTTGTGCACATACACATACATGAACATAATTTAAAAATAATGAAAGTAAATACTTTTAATAATTAGCTGGAAAGTAATTGAGAAAGCACTCAATATTGACCTCTTGTCTGTGCCTACCTGTACACACACACACACACACACACACACACACACACACACACACAGATCTTGTTGAATAAACTTGTTTGACAACTTTTGAATAGTAGTCCATTCTAAGACAATTTTAAGACATAAGTGGGCAGATCACAGTGCATTAGAAATTGGGTTAAGTATGGTCAGGTCTATAAAAATTGTTTTATCATAAGGGTGGAAATAGACATTCTTTTTCCTTTTTACTATTAAATAACTGTTTCTCTTAGAAAAGAAGTCTGGAGAAGTGGCTGTTCTGAAGAGAGATGGCCGATATATATATTACTTGGTAAGATGGGGCCAAATCTTCATACTGGGTAGATTGGCAAATAGATGGACTTCTCTGTATTGGTCATGATGCTCCATCCTAGACAGCAAAGAATGCCAAACAGCTCCCAGTTTTCCATCAGCTCAGCTCCAGAGGTGCTGGCTGCTTGAAGCACTGAGGCAGGTGTACTAGGCTGCCCCAGCTCCATGGTGAGACCACTGCTGTCCTCTATGGGCCTGGGGTCTAAGAGTGGCAGATCTTGGCAATCCACTGCTATTTCTTAGTCATAGTGAGAGGAAACCCTATCTCAAAAGAGATTTCCCTGAAATCTCTCTTGAGGCCTTTAATCTCTGTTAAGAGCCACAAAATGCCCTGTCCTCTGCTGCCTGCTGCGGGAAATGAAGGATTCTTTATCTTTCACCCTGTCTTTGGTCCCAGAAGAGGTACGTTTTGCTTACATTTGGTGGAGGGTGATTTAGAGCCAGTCGACAACAAGCCTTTTCTGGACAGCAAACACTTGGAGACACACTAACCTGCCAAGTGGGGTCTTAAAAGCCAAGACTGCTTTTCAGTTAGAAGAACGATCTCTTGCTGCTGCTTTTCTAGGGAAACAAAAAGCAAAGGAGCATGCTTTCTAATGGACAGACTTTGAGGGGCTGCTCAGGCAGTATGAGGGCTTGGCACCCGTGTGCCCCTTCACCAGTGATCTTGGTTAAGCAAGGCAGTGGGTTCAGCTTTGCTGTGTCATGGTTTTCCTCGTTACTCAGCAGAGTCTGTTTCTCAGTCACTGATGGATTTTCCTGCGGCTGTAAGATGTTGCCATCCCTGCTTTAAACGAATTGGGTGAATTAATCTATAAAGCCCTGTTTATTCTTGGAATTTCCAGGATGTAGAGGAATCTGATCGATTCTTTGTTGACTGCTGTATTGGGAGATGGAGCTAATGAGAACTCGACTCTTTTCTTTTGTGTTCAGATTACAAAGAAACGGGCTTCACACAAGCCGACGTATGAGAACCTACAGAAGAGTTTAGAGGCCATGAAGTCCCATTGTTTGAAGAATGGCGTCACTGACCTGTCCATGCCCAGGCAAGGGAATCCCGAATTGATTGGTGAAGTTTCATCTGTAATTTCCAAGCCAAGCCTAGAGTGTAGATGTAAAGAGGTCCCTGCTTGTCAGAGCTCCCCACTGAGTGGCGGTGCTGCCACAGCCTACCTGTCTTCTAGCTTGACTTGAGTGACACAGTTAGATAATGGAAGGAAGGCATGCACCTGCCTCAGCTCCTCTGTGGGGAGTGCCCAGGCTTGAATTCTTGCCATTGTGTTTGAAGCGATGGGCTCTGTTCCTAAAGCAGTGGCATCTCGGAATGGAGACTGAGCAGCTGATCTCCTCACATTGAATTTGGTGTTAGGAAAGTTGTCACTGACCTCTGCCTTTCATGATGCATGCCTGCTTGTGCTTCCTGTGGGTAGCAGTCAGGATGGCCTCGATTATATGACATTGGTCTTCAGTGACCCTTTGCTTCCTCTTGACGACCTGGTCTCTACCCCTTTTCTTATTACCCTAGTAGTTTTCAGTCAGTGTTGACCAAAGCTGGTGACTTTCAGTGTGACCGCAACATCCCTCCTTTTTATGTTTTAGAGTGCATTAGTGTTTTGCCTGCATGTGAGTCCAGGGGTGTTGGAGCGCTGGAACTGGAGTTACAGATGTTGTGAGCTGTCATGTAGGTGCTGCAAATTGAGCCCCTGGTCCTCTGGAAGAGCAGCCAGAGGCCTCTCTCCAGCCCATCATCCCTTCTTCAATATCCTCGTGGCTTGTGTATCAGAAACTTTTTTTTTAAAGTCAGTGTTTGGGAATTTGATTGTCCTGCTGTTGTGTGAAATTGGCAGTTTGAAGCTTCCCCTTTGTCCTTTGGGCTGTTGAGGATCAATGCAGTGTCATATTAGAAGGAAAGTGTCAGGCGGTAGAGTTGACCATCCTGTTACAGAGATCTCACTCTCGGGCCACAGCCAGCACCATCTCCGGACATCCCGCCGCGGCTCCCTTTCTGAGGCCCGCCCTCCTGCGCATGCTCCTTAGCATTCTATCATTTAAGTACGTTTTAAACATACGGACGTTTCCCCACCCACCCAAGTTCATTTTTACTGAAAGAAGGTAACTAGGGTAGTGGCCTTGTGTCAAAGAGTGAAATAGCTAGAGATAACTGGGAAGCAAAGAGATATGCAGGCCACCCAAGAGCTGTCCTGAGTGACTGCACAAGAGTCGACCTGGAGATTCATCATGACTTCCTACAGGTGTGAGCCCGGGTAACTTTGGTTAGAGCCCGAAGGGGGAGCGGGTTCCTGAGTGCTTTCATTATAACCAGTGGAGGGTTGTTCTTTCACACTTCATCTTAACTAAAAGACCAAGAATGACGGTGTTTTCTTTTGTTCTCAGGATTGGATGTGGACTAGATCGTCTGCAGTGGGAAAATGTATCTGCGATTCTCGAAGAGGTGTTTGAGTCCACAGACATCAAAATTACTGTGTACACACTCTGAAGATCTTGGATGAGCCCATGGTCTTTTGTGTCGTCTGTGAAGCTGTGGAACTAAGCAGCTGTGGGACCTCGTATGGGTAGAGGACTGTCTGTGTGAGGGAGTCTGTGTCCCAGGCCAGAGGTGGGTCTCTGTACTCCAAGAGGATAGGGAGGGCACTGCCCCCAAGCACTAGCCAGGAAAACAGGTAGTAGGTAAGCTGGTTTAGGGCCTGCTTTGCTTAGCCACTACTGGATTTGTTTGGCTGGCCACTAGGTGGCAGCATTGGTTCTAATTCTCTTTCTTTTGAAGAGAAATTGTGGGAAGGGTAAACTTCTAAGATTCTTTGCCATCTTTTGTGTTTGTGCATTTGGTTGTTAGTCTGTCATCAAAAATCATCATAGGAAAGGATTATGATTGTTTTTAGTTACGACATCACAATGTATCAAGAGCGGAACAATAAACTTTTCTCTTGGGTTCACTGAGGTTTGCACATCTGAATGTGTGTGTTCTGGATCTTAGGGACAGGTTAAACATTTGACTTAATTTTGAAGAGCCAGGGTTCCCTGGGAAGAGCAACAAGATAAGAGGTAAATATGGACATGGATTGTGTCCACCTGGTTACCAGGTGGGGTTAGAGTGCTTGTGGGGGCTCGTTACTGTCTGCTGCATAGCTGATGTGTTTGGATATGCCTGGACTTAATCAGGAGGCCAGCAAAATAACACTAAAGACTTAGAGCAAGGGCAGATTCCGGGTTTGTGTTTTCCCCTCCTTAGAAGATTGTGACATGCAACTAACTGGGATCTCACAGCACTACGGTAATTATTGGTCCCTCCTCTGAAACTAATGACAAGCGTCATATCTCTGGTGGGAAGATAAAGCCCATGGATTTTGTCAGTGTTCTGTTACTAGAGCTATTGAGGCAGCTAGGAGACCTCTCTACCCCACAGTGGCTGTACTGCAAGTCAGCACAGTCAGACATACCACAGTCCGTACTCTAGTGTGACTGCTGGTTGGTCAGGAATGGGTGATTCTTCCAGTGTAAAAATAACAACTAAGTTAGAAGGGGCTGAGGAGATACCAGGAGAGCACTGGTGACATGATCTTGGTATGTGAGACGTGTTCTTAGCATATTGCAGCCTGCTGGCTCGGGGGTGGGGGGGTGGGGGTGGAGATGCAGACAAGTTCTACGCTTGGTGCTATAGGAGGAGTCCAAAGCTTTCATTAGAACCTTCTGTGTCTCTAAAACGAGGGAGAGAATGTATAAAGACGTGAGGCAGCTGACGAGAGCCAGTGATGGACAGATCATCGTATTTCACTCTGGGGAATCTTTATGTTCCTTCTCTTCCGTGTATTGAATCTGTAGCCTTTCATGTTAGACTGTTTCTTCACCAACCTACACTTCAGCGCCTAAGGAAACATCTGAACGCTTGCCCAGATCAGTAGCTCTCTAGGCTCCTTTGCTTTTAAAGGGATTAGAGTTAATGGTTAATTTTAGTCGGGGAGCTTGATTGGCTGTCAGTGGCATTCTGGACCTTGGTGGGGATGTGGTTAAGTGCTTTTGGGTCAAATTCTGGTGACTTACCACACATGAAGCCTGAGGAAAGGTGAGCTGGCCGGATTACAGAATGGACACCACCTCCTCAGAAACCCAGTTAGAGTCTGCCTGACACCCAACACCCAGACAAGCAGTGTGGTTTCACTTCTGCAGAGGATGCAGACAAACCCTTTGAGAAGTGTGAGAAGTGACCCCTGCCACCTCCTGTCATTGTTTCCAAGGGTCTCACGGTGTGTCTGAACATTTAGCTGTTAATTTTTGACCCCCTCTTTAGGGAGAAGAAAGTTGCTTATTGCTTGGCCATTGAGATGTGGCTATCTCATAAAATTCCATGAGGCTTGTGTTGCCCACCATGTTATCTTCAGAGGAAAGGAAAAGCTCTCCTTTACAAACAGTCCAGGAACACGTTTCTCTTTCTTCCATTGTTCAGTAGTGCTGGGGATGGAATGAGGGCCTTGCATATTCAACCTGCTGGACAGCCCGGAACACTCTGCTGCCTCACACCTACCTTACGTGAATCAGTCTCCTAGTAGCCGCTGGGTATACCATGCCGCCTAGCCCACATACCTCCAGGGGTTCTCCAGCCTTCATCTTGTGCTGAGACGACAGACTCGTGCTTCTCCATCCTGCTTTATGTGAGTTCTGGGGATCTGAAGCCTGGTTCTCATGCTTGCAGCAAGAGCTTTACACGCTGAGCCATTGCCAGCTCTCCAGCCCTCAGGAAGGAGATAGTTTCAGGTCTGGATCATGGTGAGAAGTCAGGCTGGGAGAGCGAGTGCTTCACTGTCAAAACCTGGCTTTATCTTCCTAATGTCATGGCTTGGATCTTAGCATACAATATCCCTGCACCTAGGTGTCTACTCACAGTCCATTGGAACTTCCCAATGTCCCACTTTCTTAAAAGAACAGACCACAAAAAACACTATTTCTTTTATTGATTTTGCTATTTTGTCTTTTTAAAAAAGCCAGCCCAATTCAAAACACTTTTCTAGATGCATTTCAAAGGTCTGTACCTTGAATCTGAGGATCTTTGTCTCAGGCAGCACCCCTGGAGAGGCACTAAGACCCTCCGCCCCCAGGTACCTGCTGCTCACAGCACACACAGTTCTTTCTCTTGCCTTCATTTTCCTTTCTTCCAATAGCCATTTTACAAAAGCCATAGTTGAATGAATGGTGGCCTGAGGTGCGGCCTGAGTTCTCTGAGGGAGGGTCTTGTCCAATGCAATTGGTTGATGTCAGATGTCCAACTCCAAGTAGAATTGGGAAGCCAGGCATGTCCCAGATGCCATCCTGGTCACTGCTCTGAGTGGCAGCGGGCAGACCTTCATGGGAAACAGCATGTTACTGAGAGCCTTGCTAACCCCCAACTGCCAACCCTCTGAGACAACTAAAGCCTCTTTTTGTACTTTCCCTAAAAAACCCTAGATGTCTCCCCCAGGGCCTCCTATGGTTCCTGGCTGAGGTGGTGTTGGGACTGTCTCCTTCGTTGCTTTGGTGTGGTTACCACAACCCCAGAGATTCTGTTTGGATTCTGTTCTCGTGAGTTAAATATGTAGTACAAATACTCTGCTGTGTAGATTTGTGTGGTCCAGAACTGAATACACAGAGCAGGCTAGACTTGAACTCAGATCCGTTTACCTCTGCTTCCCCTGGGCTAGTATGCTAGTCTTTCTTAAAGCAAAGATAAAAATGAGACATAGACAAATTGTATTTAAAAAGTGCTTGCTTCTTAGTGAACTTTAAGAAGGGCTGGCTGTTCTTTAGGGGCATTTAGACTCTGTCATGGTTTTTTTTTTTTTTTTTTTTTTTGGATTACATTTGACCTTCCCTCAGGAACTTAGAAGATCCACAGATATGCCAAAGGAAGTGTGCTAATGGGTTCAAGAATTCTGGTTGTATCTGTATACCCAAGAAGGAGTTAAGTTCTTTTTTAAATTACATTTCTTTATGTGTATAGGGGGCAGTGTGTAGGTTTTAGGTTAAATAACTTTTGAGATCAGTCCTTTCTTTCCACATGTGGATTCCATAGATAAAACTCAGGTCTTCGGGATTGGTGGCGAGCACCTTTACTAGTTGAGTGACTGGCCCAAAATAGTCTATCTTCAAATAAGCTGACTTAGACATGTACTTTCCCCTCATACTAGATTATTTACTGAGTATCAGTTTAAACTCCCAAATTTAAAACTTTAATCATCACTGAAAACCACAATCATCACTGAAAACTTTAATCAATTTTAATGAAAGAAAATCCCTGAAGACTTGCTAGTTTGGAAGCTGGCAGAAGTGGCCTGTAAAAGTCTTCAAAGGGGCTGGAGAGATAGCTCAGTCAGCTAAGGAGCAAAGCCTGACACCTGAGTTCCATTCCCAGAACTTGAATGGTAAAAGCAGAGACCCAACTCTGGTAAGTTGTCCTCTGACCTCCATGTGTGTGCCTTGACGTGTGCCCTTCCCACACACAAATAAAAAAAAGTATAATCTCATTAAAAGCATGGGATTGTTGTAGGGGAGGCTGTTTTGTTTTGTTTTTGAGATACAGTATGTAGCCCAGGCTAGCCTATGAACTCTCCATTCTCTTCAGCTCACCTCTTGGTGCTGGGCGTAGACTGCCACCATGCTCAGATTATTTTTATTATTGTTATTATCAGACCTAGAAATTGAATCCCATATGCATGTGTGCTAGACAAGCATTTCACAACCCCAGACAAATCTTTGGGTTTTATAAATATTCTACCACTGAACTACACCCACAACCCAAACTCTTGGGTTTTTTGTTTAGTTTTATTTTTGAGACAAGGTCTCATTAGTTAGCTTAGGTTAGCCTGAAACTTCATATAATCCAAGATAGCCTCTCTGCCTCTCTGCCTCTCTGCCTCTCCAGTGCTAGGATTACAGGCACACAGCACTGTAGCCCTCTCCCCGTTGAAGACTGTGAAAAAACACACCTCAGGGTTAGAATTAAGTCAGCAGTCACCATTCTGGTGAGTCTTAATGCTGGCTAGTGGTGCTTACGCTAACAAACATCTCTGAGGGATTTTAAAAGCAAGTTCTGTATTTTCTGGAGTCATCCTTGAATCTTTCTTTACCGATATCATGACCCAGTTTCCTGTGTTATGTTATGGTGTGAACCTACCTACAACCAAGTCTCTGCTCTGTCCTTTTGCTAAGGAGACTAGACTGAGAGTGAGCCCACTTGGACAGGAAGATGAGGGTGTCTGGGCACCCTACGTGCATGGCTAATAGCAAACACCTGCCGACATGCAGGTCCGGAACATGAGATTTCCAGAACGTGTCTGTGAAGCTGTATCTTCTCTTAAGGGTATTGGAAGCGAGAAACATCAAACATAAATTGTATGATC